ATATTTAGTAAAAATAAAGAAATATTTTTTAAAAGACATTTTAACTTGATTTTCAATGAAATCGGTATATTTTCTCAACTCGCGTTGATGATTGACACGTTTTTAAAAGACAAATAAATGAAGCTATAATTCAGATTTGCCAGGATAAAAGTAAAGTCACAAGTAATAATGTAACAAAGGTTAAAATTAAAAAAATTGGCGAGAGTGTTTACTTGTTTTCTAAAAAAAAAATCATGTGGATTTTATATTGAGTCATAACAGTTATGAATTTCCCATAAATATTCTATAAAAATTCCTCGTCATTTCCAAGGAATATTCCACAGGGTCATTCTACGAGCAATTTATCAAACCTTTGAAATGACGAGCAACGCTGCTGACATCTCATTTTTCAAGATAGTGCTCTTATAACATCAATATTAGAGCACCCACCCTCCAACAATGACTTCAAAGATCGCCACTTTTTTTTACCGATTTTTTGAGGTACACATGCACGTACAGCGTATCAAGAACATTAGTAAAGTGTTGTTCGTCACGATCGCGTGAACCCATTACATAAAAGAGACACGTGAGCGGATGCACGTAGAGAAATATATTGACGTCCCTTCTCTAATTTTAAACCAATTTTCTGCATTAAGAAAGCGTATCGTCATTGCCGTTGCCATTTTCGATCGACGTACACTCCTATCAGAAAAAAAGTGAGAAAAAACAAAAGCCCCGCCCCCTAGACATTCATGCACCCATTCATTGGAGCCTTTCCCTTTTACTACTGTTCTCTCGCTGGATCCAATACCGAAAACCAATTCCCTATAATAGATCGGTATAATGAGCCCTCGAAAGAAACTAGAACGGAAAATCAGTCGTGTATAACGGCGATTCCGGGACTGGCACCCAGTATCAACTGGACTCCATAATACAAAAACAAAAGAGTGCGGAAAACGAGGGAGGCTGGCACACGTGTTAAAAGTTGTAAAAGTGGGGGGTGTCACCGGGAAAGTGCATTGTCGACAGAAAGGGTGACAGGGGGTGCTCTGGTGATCTCAGGGTCACGACGGTTATTTTCAGGCTAAAATCAATAAAAGCCGTTCAAGGAGCACAACACGCGCGCGCACGCTCGTAGTATACGAGTGTGTATTTCATTGTAGCACACAGCATTGCGACGTCCAAGGGGTTAGTCAGTCGACCTCGTGCTGAGCAGGGTGCATGAGGTGTTTTACTATTTGTGTTGTCTTTTTTTTGCAATTTATTTTTTGGGGTGTGTGGGTGTATAAATATTTTATGTAAATAGGATTAGAAGACAGTAATTTTTTGTAAGTTTTTAAGCTTTGTCTTTTAAGATTTTTTCAAGTAGAAAATAGGGGAATGACAAACAGAGAGATTTTTTTATCATTGTTATTTTTATTTTTCGTAAAACTTGTGTAAAAAGTGTTTATGTACTAGATTGATATTTTTTAGCTTGTACAAGTAAAGGTGCATATTCTGTTTTTTTTATATTAAATCGAGGACGATGAGGTTGAGCATTTTTTGTATCTTACCTCATATTTTTTTATTGTAAATACAATTTTTTTTATGCTACGTATGATACAAAGCTTTTGACAAATTTTTCAATCAATTAATTTTTCCCGTGAGTTATAAACTTTTCGTAAAATCCTCTAAAATAAAACTTTGTGCTGACAAATATAGATAAGTCTTGTTATGATTTAATGGAGACAAAAACTGTCTAGAGATAAAACTTTGATCCTTTATGAATAAAAAAATATTCAGACAATAATTGAAAAAGATTATCTGTGTAAAAGTGAAGAATAATTTTAATTTTTTGGTTAGATCATGACACAAGACTTTTTTTACCGTTTTTATTTAAATTACTTTATCGAAAGAGTTTCTGCTATGTGTCATGACTTTTTAGTTTTGGTATGAACTTTCCAGTGCGTTTTACTTTTCTTAACGAACGGAACTTTACATATATCAAATAAAGTTTACGACGAAAAAGAATAAAAAATAACACAGATCAATTTTTATTAGTTATTACGTACTTTGTGCTTCAAATTTTTTTAAACCGATGACTTACAGATATGTATACTAAATCGATATGTTAATTGATTACATTCGAAACAGTTGGACCAACCAAAACAATAAAGAATAAAAATTACTTTCTATTAGAAATGAAAAAACTTTCTTGAATTTTAATACAGGGCATATTTGTAATGTATTATTTCTAATACCAAGTGAATTTTATTTAAAAGTATCAATGCTTCATCAAGTTCTTTTTTTTTCATTTGAAGTGTAAAAATAAATTGAGTCATTTTTAGAGACTGGGTCGAAAAAGTTATATTTTTAAATTTTTTTTAAAAGTCATTAAATGTCCAT